GCGGTGGTGGTGCAACGGAAAAACAAACTAGTGGCGATAATCTTTTAATATTAGCTGATTTAGATGAACGACTTAATAAACGTTATAAAGAAATTCGTGAAGCTGGAGATCGAATACATAGTTTAGTTCGAGATAATCGACAATATTTACAAGTTGATGAAAATAATTCAGCTATATCAGAAAATTGGAAAGCTTATATTGAATATATTGATGAAATGATAACAGATGGATTTTATGCGATTGTACAATGTGATTTAGACTTTTTTCGACAAGAAACTGATCGAAAAAATAATCCAGAACCATTATTTCAAATTCTTCTTGAAGTTCATGTAAATTAAAACAGAAAAAAATATTTTCTCCATTCTTATTTTTTTTGTTTTTCTTGTAGCCACCTGAAATGTTATTTACTCCTTCAATTGAACCAAATGCACCTGATGGTTTTGCTGATTTTGTTGATGGTCTTATTGCAAATTCATATAAACAAGCATCACTTATTCCACGTTTAGCTAAACATCTTCCACATGCAAATTATCAACCAGATATTCAAGAAATGAATTCACTTACAGAAATTCGTCAAGAAATAAATGATCGTGTACAACATGTTATCGCTAAAGCAAATGAATATCAACGTTCATTTGATCGTTATGCTTATTTATGGACAGATGATCGAAAAGAATTTATGAGACAATTTTTATTATATGGTCATGTATTAACATCCGAAGAAATTCAACAACATGCTATTGATGGTATACCAGAAAATCCTCCAACAACAGCACAATTTCGAGAACAAATTGATACTTATGAAGGAATTTTTGATGAAGTTGAAAAAATTGATCCAATTCAAGTTTATGATAAATGGTTTAGAATTGATGCACGACCATTTAAACAAACACTTTTAAGTACTGTGAAAAAATGGTCATTTATGTTTAAACAATGGCTTATTGAACATGTTACTAATAGGTAAACTATAATAGTGTAGTATTAGAAATTAAATTCGAAATGTTTTTTATTTAATTTTAGTTTGAATGAATTACAAGAATTTATAAAGAAAACTGATGCACAATTAAAACGTCCAGTTAAAGAAGGTGATTATAATTTACTTGTTGAAATAATGGCACATTTAGCTGCTATTAAACAACGTGAACAAACAACTGATGCATTATTTACACCATTAAAAGAAACTATTGAATTATTAAAATCATATAATCAAGAATTACCCGAGGAAGTTCATCAACAACTTGAAATTCTTCCAGAAAAATGGTTAAATTTAAAACGTAATTATGTTGCTGTTCGACAAAATGTTGCACCATTACAAGCACAAGAAAATGCTAAAATTCGACAACGTTTAGCTGAATTTGATGTTATACAAACACAATTTCGTGAACGATTTAAAAATGAAGCACCATATTCATATGATACACCAAATGCTTATAGAAAATTAGATCGTGTTAATCGTGATTTAACTAAACAAGAAAATGAATTAGAAAAATTAATAAAATCATCTGCTTTATTTGAAGTATCATTTCCTGATTTTAAACTTATTAAACAGTGTCGAAAAGATATTAAATTACTTAAACAATTATGGGATTATATTAGTTTAGTACGATATAGTATGGATGATTGGAAATCAACTCGATGGCGTGAAATTAATGTTGAACAAAGTAAGACTTTTTTCTACTGTTTTAAACACACGATGTTCTATTTCTGAGGATTTCCGAATTTTACCAATAAGATTAATTATCAACATTTACATGATTTTTGTTTTTCTATTAAATAGTGGATGCCGAAGTAAAAAAATTTCAACGTGATATAAAATTACTTGATAAAGAAATGCGTACATGGAATGCATATACTCGATTAGAACAAATATTAAAAAATATGATAACAGCTCTTCGTTCTATAACTGAATTACAAAATCCAGCTATACGTGAACGACATTGGGATGAATTAATGTCATGTACTGGTGTACAA